AAAGAACTGAGACCCTTACTTTTTGAAATGATATTACTGCACCTAAATCATTGTTACTATCATTTAGAATATTAGTCACATGTGGTAGTTGAAATTACGTCATTTGGAGTTTTGTAACCCGAGTTGTGCGCATTTGAAGTTTCATGTAAAAACTTTTAAAAAGCTGTCAGAACCAAGAAATAATATAATTTTGATTTCTTAAAAACTATTTTTGAGGTACTTAGAGATCTCGAATTTAGACTTATGATAGCTCATTTTGAAGGTCTAGGTGTCTACTTTATTCAAAAACTAGAATTATACCTTTTTGATCTATGTGAAATGTTTTATGATAATTTCCGTTAAATAGGTCAAAACTACGTTCTTGGCATAACGCAAAAAGTGTGAATTTGAACCCAACCTCTAGAACCGGGATCGTTGTACTTAAGACACTTATCATACCATTTAGTGTGCATCATTAGTGAGGTGTAGCACTTAGAATCACTCTGTTTAGAGTTTTATAGGCCGAGATGTGCGTAGTTAAAGTTTTGCTTAGAAACTTTTCACAATGCCTTGAAGAGCTAAAATTTCAGAATTTCAATTTCTTGTAAGAGGTGTTTGAAAGGCTTAGAATATTTGAGATAGAGCATGTAATAGCTCGTTGGAAAGCCCTGGATGTCTATTTTCATTATGAACCAGTTTTCAACCCTTTGAGGACACGTAATACGGTTTGCACGTGTTTCTGTGACAGGCGTTAGATCAGCCCAGATGTGAAATTAAAGAATTCTTTTAGATAATCCGAGTATGATTAAGTGAAGAACTTCCCTAAGCACTTAGCTTAAGGTGCTTGGCTTAATGTTGGGATTCTAGAACCTTTTGAGTATTGTACAAGAATCATGTTCGTGATGATTCTTGTTCAATAATTCTATAACCTTGTATAACCCTTCTCGTTAGAAGTTGAAAGTTTAGACATGTGTATAGAGATGAGAATTCACCCCGTTGATATTCGAAAAGCCGTGATCATGAGTCGCAAAGTGATGAAATCGGGAACACCATTTGTTTTCTTGCATTTCATTATTGTTGTTTTCACAAGTTTAATCGCTACCCAGGTATGTTCTAATTCCGAGGACGGAATTTCTTTAAGGGGGTAGGATTGTGACATCTAGTTAAATTAATTGAGATTAATTAATCAAATCCATTGGTCAGTCTTGATTAATCTGACATTAGCGAAAGATTCTCAGTTATAATTATCATGTAAAGGACCTTTCTCCTGTAAAAAATGATTGTTTTGAAATTGACACTGTTGTCCCTCGAACAGTTTTAAGTGTTGGTAACTAATTTTTTAGAATTTGAATAATGGGTCATTCCATACTCTATTTAAATTGGACTTTGAAGTCTAATGATCAAATTTGCACAAAAAGCCTAAGCCCATATTTTTTTTCCTTTTTCTTCTTTTTCTCTCCTTTTCTTTCTCTTCCACGCTCA